TACAACTAGAATTTTTTAAAAAATTACCTTTTGTTTCTGCAGGAGGAATCTTTCCTTATGAGTTGCTCATCACTCAGGCAAGATTTCAGCAACCAATTCCCCGGGTCCTACCTCTCCACATGCTACCTTCCCTTTCCCTCTGGAGGGCTGGTGCTGTGGTCAGCACAGGAAAGGATGAGGCATGGCCCTGCTTACCCTTTCCTCCAGGGTGTAAAGGGAAATAAAACATCGGGTGTAGCTCACCAGAGGGCTGGAGTGCTCGCTGAGGATCATGGGAAAGTGTGCACACTGTCACACAGAATCCCCACCAGAGCAAGGTCCCACACTGGTTCTGAACAGACAGAAGGAAGTCAGGGTTGGAAAAACAGCTGGCTTGCCCAGTGGTCTGGATGCGAAGCTCTGTGAGGACCCAGAGTGAGTGAAGATGATTAGGACCCCCAGAGGCTGCACCCCCTCTGCAGCCCTCATGTGTGAGGCCTGCACGCAAGGGCATGTCGAAGAAGGAAGACCTCTGTAGGCCTTCGAATTAGTAAATAGTTTATATACCTAAAAAATAAGCAAAATCAAGTATATTTCAAGGCAGAGGGGAGAAAGGAAAAGAGTTTCCTAGAAAAGCCTATGTTACAGGCCAGGAAGACAAGCAGGAGTCAGTGCCCAGGCTGGGCCAGGCCAGCCAGAGGGAGTGTGTCTGGCCAGGCTTTGGCTCTTAGCAGACGCTGTCCCCACCCAGGGACAGCTTCCTCCCCGGCTCTGTGCCCAGTGTTGGGGAGGCTGGAGAAGGAGTCACAGTCAGCGCGCAGATGGGGCAGCACTCAAACCTAGGGCGGGCAGCAGGAGCAGCTGGGATGTAATGACAGGAACTGTCCTTGGTTGTCACTCAGCGGCACACAGTCTGTGACAGTCTGTGTCCTGCTTTCCCCTGGCAGCTTGGGCAGGAGGAAGCCACAGCCCTGGAAACTGCAAGTGGGGCAGAGGCTGCAGGGCCTCGAGAGACAGAGTCATCTTAGGCCCCTCCTGGTCACTTCCCTGGGAGGATTCAGTCACCACCAAGGCATGGAAACAGGTGTGTACTGGTCCTTCTCCATGAGTTGTTTTTTTTTCCTCCTGGTACCGGGGATCGAACTCAGGACCTTGTACTTGCCAGCCAGGCGCAATGCCACTGAGCTACATCCCCAGCCCTCTCCATGAGTTTTTGTAAGGATTCTTTATATTTCAGGCTTTTTACTACCAAAAAAAAAAATTCATTAAATAAAAGTGGAGAGAATAGTGTAAAGAATCTCACATATACATCACCTAGATTTAACCATTAACACCTTGGTATATTTGCTTCTTTTCTTTTCTTCCTTCTTCCTTCCTTCCTTTTTCTTTTCTTTTCTTTTCTTTTTTTTGTTCTTTTTTTGCTTTGCTTTTTGAAGTATTTAAAAACAAATCCCCCCAAAAAAATAAAAATAAAAAAAATAAAAACAAATCCCAGGGCTGGGGATTTAGATCAGTCACACTTGCCTCGAAAGCACAAGGTCCTGAGTTCAATCCTCAGTACCAAAACAAAACAAAACAAGACAAAACAAATCCCAGACATTACATTACATTTTACTCTTAAATGCTTCAATATACACCTTTGAAACAGTAAAGACAGAGCCAGGGATGGTGGCAACATGCCTGTTATTCCAGCATTCAGGAGGCTGAGGCAAGATGACCCCAAGTTTGAGACCAGCCTGGGAAAGATAGTGAGTTCAAAGCTGGCCTGGACTACATAGTGAGACCCTGTTTCAAAAAACCAAAAGCCAACCAAACAAAAAGATAAGGAGATTTTCTTCTATAACAACAAAATCACACACCAAAATGAACAATTCTTTAATATTTTGTAATTCCTGATAATCCCAAAATGTGTCTTTACAGTTGGTTTGTTTGAATGAGGATGCAAACAGGGCCTATATACTGCATGTGGCTGCTGTCTCTTTGTTCTCTGTCATCTGGAGGATGGCTGGGGAGTGTCATCCAGTGGACCATGCTCACCCCGCTACCCTCTGTCCTAGTCCCTCTGAGTACCCTCCAGGCGCAGACAGCCTGATGAGTGGCCAGGTCTGAAGGAATGAGCCCTGGCATGGAACCAGAAACTCATGGATTTTTAAAATTCCAGGCAAGAGACCACAAAATTTGTGTGTGTGGGTGAAATGTATGTAGTTTCTTTGCCCTGGCCCTGAACAAGATAACCCTTCCACCAGACCGGAAGAGGAAGACAGAGAGGCATTGGAGATAGAAGGGTGCAGGAGCTCGTGCAGAGGGCAGGCAGCCATCTTCCGTGGAGTCTCCCTGGGGTTTGGGGGGCTTGGCCCCTTTTGTTGTCCAGCGGGTAGGATGCCCATCTCTACCTGGGGAGCTTCACAGGATCCTGGGAAGATCTCTTCACGGGAAGCAGGGGCCCTGGCTGTCTAGAGGGTGGGTAATGCATAGAAAGAAGCCTCCTTGCCCACCTCAAAGCTGGCCACATGACTTAGACCCGGTCTGTCCAGCTGCCCTAGGTGTTCCTGCTGCACTTCTGAGAGTTCAGCCACGTGCTCAGCTGATTTCCCAAGTACCAGAAACTTGGATGGAAAAGAGGGGAGCCTGGAGCCTGAGCTTTGTCTCCCATGCTGTACTCTAGCTGGCCCCATTGCTGAGTCCCCAGACCAGGGGTCCCTGCAAGCCCTGCAGGCGAAGACAGCTGTGCGCTCAGCCTGGGCACTTCCAGAGCCAGCAGCATTTCTGTTTGAATCTATAGCATGTCTGAGGGCCATCCGTCTCTCTCAATGGCCCTTGAGTGCCCTTTGGGCTGTGTCCTCTCTTTGTGGGTTCTGGTGGCATTGACACTGGAAGGTGCTGCTCTCCTGGAGGTCCCCAGGGGACCCGAGGTCCTTACTGTACCTCGGTGGAGACACTGGGAAGATGCTGCCCTGCTGGCCTCTGCATGGAGCACAGACCTTGGTAGCTGGCAATCTGGCCTGCATCTGATCAATTTTATCTGTAAAGTATTCTGAACCCCCCACCCCCACCCCACATAACATATTGACCCTCTGAGGGGAGGAATGAAATGTGGGTCGCCTGTTTGAAGACATTCTCCATTCTGAGGAAGCTTGTTCGGAAACCCAAGATAAGCCTCAGAAGGCGAGCCAAGCGGGCAGGGGCGGGGCTCCTCTGGTGAGTCTCCGAATCTCCCTTGGCCTTCCATTTTATGTGTTTACCGATTGTGAAAGCAAATCCAGCTGTTGGGAGGAATTGCTTCCAGATGACATTATGGGAAAGGAAAACACGCATTATGAAAAAGTTGCAGAATAAAAACCAGAACATGTACACTCTGTGGGCCAGGATTTCATATGGACTATTTCCTGAGATTGTGCAATAAGTCAGCTCCAGAGGTAGTAAAAAGAACAGCACAGATGGGCTGCTGCTAGAGTCAGCAGATCAGAACTGGGACTGGACTTGGCAGAACTTGGGGAAAACTCACTTAATCTCACTGGGCTACTGTAGCTTTCTCCTCTTTTTTTTTTTTGTTGTTGTTCTTATTTTTGATACTGGAGATCGAACTCAAGACTTGGTGCTTGCTCGGCAGGTGCCAGAACCTCTGAGCTAAAGCCCTGGCCCTAGGTTTCTCTTCTTGAAGACTCGGTTCCTACCTTCCCTAGGGATCCTTGTGACAGCCCCAGAAAGGGTCTTCTGTGTGCTGAATCACGTGGGTAAGAGAACCAGGGGGGGAAGAAGCAAGGACATTTCACTTTTGGAAATGGGATGTTTCTCGGCTCCCCTGCACAGAATTTGCTGCGTTGGCTTTCACAAAGATTTTAGAAGCTCTCTAACAAGCTGGAATTAAAGTGTCCCTTTACTAATTTGGTTTTACAGGTCACTGGATAAACTTACTTAGAGTGCTTTGGAAGAGGATTAGGACATTTTTGTCTCTTCCAAGTTGACTTTCCAGGCAGGATCAGTCAGCAGCTGGAGACTCCCTTGGCCAGGGGCCAAGCTCTCACAAGCTGCACGTTTTGAAGGGCCTGGCGAGCACACTGCAGCTCTGCTCAGTTGCGTAAAATGAAAATGCTTCCATGCAGGATGTGCATCCCACGTTTGCCTGCCCGGAGAGAACCAGAAAGCTCAGCAGCCCAGGTCCCCAGGGCAGGCTGACCCACCGGCGCCGTCACTCTGCTGCTTCAGCCTTGAGCAACTCTCCACCCTCGAGGGCAGAGTGGGCCTTAGGAGCTGGAGAGTTGGCTCCTAGATGGCACTGTAGTCACTGGCCACAGGGGCTGTGTACATTAGAATTTAAAATTCAGTCTTTCAGTCTCACTGGACAGATTGTAAGTGCCACACACAGCTAGCGACAACCATACGAAACGGTACAGATAATGAGCCTGCACTCATTGAACAAATATGTGTGGGGTGCCACTGCAGTGAACAAAGCGTACTAAATCTCTGCCCTCCTGAAGTTCATGTTCTAAAGAGGAAGAAAACTAGACAATAGCTGGGCAGGGTAGCGCACGCCTGTGATCCCAGCACTCTTCGAGGCTGAATGAAGCAGGAGAATGGTGAGTTCGAACCCAGCCTGGGTAATTTAGTAATTTAGCGAGACTCTGTCTCAAAATTTATTTACTTATTTATTTAGTTTTTGGGGTTTTTTTGAGACAAGGTCTCACTATGTAGTTCAGGCTGGCCTTGAACTCACTAGGTAGCCCAATCTGGCCTCGAAGCGATCCCCCTGCCTCAGCCTCCGGAGTGCTGGGATTACAGGCATGCACTACTACACCCGGCTCTTTCTCAAAATTTAAAGAAAAAAAAAAGACTGAGTTGAAAAACAGACAATAAACATAAGTCACTTTCAGTTGCCGTCCCAGTGGGTAAAGAGCAGGGGCGGTTCCCAAGAGACAGTGGGAGAGGTCGGCATGGGGCTCAGAGCCCAGCCAGTGAGCTCCACCCCCGACCCCCAGTGGCCCAGGGGGAGCCAGAGGCAGGATGGGAAAGAGCGGGGCGGGGGGCGGCACTGTGTCCCGCATGATCTTTCAGCCTGGCAGCCTGTTAGAAGGCAGCTGGTGCAGGGAGGCAGCAGAACAGGGTAAGAGGCAAGCGCTGGGGCGAGCGGTCACGGTGGGGAGGGCGCGTGGGGCGCAGGACTTCTCTTTGTCATCCTGTCCCTTCCTTCTGCTCTTAGGCAGGACTGTGCCTCCTCCCCCGTGCCTGGCATCAGTGGCTCTTGCTCCTGCCACTCGTTGCCTTCTCTCTGGGCCTCTCTCCAGTTCCTCGAGGGCGGCTCTGCGGCTGTCAGGGAGTCTCTGTCCTATGCCACAGGTGGAGCCGATTTTTATTTCTTACTACGAAGACTGTTTTTAGACAAAATAATTTTAGCATAGAGAAAAATTGAGAAAATAGCATAGAGAATTCCCATATCCCCTACATCCAACTTTCCCTATTACTAATACCTCACTGTAGCATGGGACATTTGTTAAAATCAATGAACCAATCATGACATATTATTAAGATCTATATTTTATTCTGATTTCCTGGGTTTATTTTAAATGCCAGAAGATACTTTTATTTTCTTTTGCTGCTATTTAGAAGATGTTCTTCTGTGTTTTAGCTTTGTATTTATTTTATTTGTATTTATCCATGTTAATAGCAAATTTTTTCACCACAGCTGAAACGCCGCAGAGATCGTCTGAGCTGTTACTGTCAGACGGACCTGTCTCCATGTCTGCTCTGCCACTCTCTAACCCCAGTGCCTGTTTTTTCTACTTCTCTCCCAGGGTTGCCAAAGCTAATAGAGAAAAATCATGAGTCTGTGGTGAAGCGGCCCAGTCCACTGAGGTAATGTGTGGAACCAGGAGGCTGTCAGAACACAGGTGACAAATGCCAGGTGTCCTCAACAGCTTCCCAGCCAACCACAGCTTCGGGGTGCTCCCTGCTGAAAGCCCTCAGAGTCCCTCAGAGTGTATCCATCGTCCCCTGATGTTCCCCGATCACGTAGCCAGGGCTTAGTTATACAAACTAAGAGATTAACATTGACAGGAGGCTATTAACTAAAATACAGACTTTATTTAGATTTCACCAGTTTTCCCACTAATGTTTCTTCCTGTTCAGAAACCAACCCAGGATGCCACACAATACTCCGCTGTCAGGCTGCCTTAGGCATCGCTGGTCAGTGGCCGTTTTGCAGGCTTTCCTTGTTTTTCATGACCTTGAGACTTTGGAGTAGTACTGGTTGGGTTTTTTGTAGACCCTTTCCTTTGATTTAGGTTTTTGTAGTGTTCATGCCCCTGACCACACTGGGGAAGAATAAGGGATGTCCCTTCTCCTTCAGCGCATCAGCAGTGCATGACCTCCCCATGTCAGGCGACAGCTGCTGTTGACCTTGATCACTAGGTTAAGGTGGTGCCTGCCAGGTTTCGCCACTCTGGAGTTATTACTTTATTTTTACATATTCTATCTGCTAGTGGTAAATTACTAAGTTCAGCCCATACTCTGGGGATGAGCAGGGGAAGGAGTCTCCTTTCTTCTCTGGAAGACATAGTATCAAAGAATTTTTGAACATTAAAACCACCATAATAACTAATATTTGGGATTTTGGTGGGGGTTTTTTTGGTGTTTTCTTTTTTGAGACAGGTTCTTGCTCTGTAATTCAGGTTGACCTTTAACTCACTATGTAACTGAGGCTGTCCTTGAACTTAATTAAGATGATCCTCCTGCTTCAGCCTCCTGAGTGCTGGGATTACAGGTATGCATCTCCACACCCAGCTGTTAACTAATATTTTTGGATAGATGCTTTGAGACTACACAAAGGTTCTGTTTCTCCTTATAGTTTCACCCTCTAAGTTTAGCATGCATCCATAAACCTGTCCTGCAGCAGTTATTACTGTGGGGTTCAAATGGTGATTTCCTGATTCCTTCATTCTTCTACTTTTGTAATTTGGGCTCCTTCCATAAGAACAGTCTGTCTCTTCTAGTCACGTATTTATTTATTTATTCAGTTAATTATTTATACCAGTATGCACTGATGGATGTGTGTGTTATTCTTTGGGTTATAATCCAATGCTGTTGTTATTTTATTGCTCAAATTGTCCTAGTTTTGGACATCGGGAGCTTTTCGGCCTTGATCCTATGACCTTTCCACATGACCTCACATCCCTTTTTGTGTTTTACATTGTGTAAATGTGCGTGTTGGTTTGAGCACTACTTTACTGCCTGTCAGTGGAAGGCTCACCAGGCCCACCATGTAGCTTCCAGCCCCTGCTGCCCCAGCCCCAGCCCTGACCACTCCCCAGCGGGCCTCCTGGGCCTTGAAAGTGTCCCTCCCACCATGCAGGTCCTTTCATTTAGGGCCTGCCCCAGATCCTTGCCTTAGGAGCAGCTCTCACAGCGGTGGAGTTCAGTAGAGCTCTTGTTCAGAGATCATGCTCTCTTCCATGAGATGAGGGATGGCAAAGGTGCTTCCTCAAGGGCTGGCTGCAAGGATTAAAGGTGAAGGCTAGTGGGGTGGCTGCACTCCTGTTCTAGTTCTCAGCACATATTTGTTGGTGATGATGGAGGCCTGTGGCTTCTGGTGAGGACAATGATTCCCAGGGTGCAGGCTCTGGACGAAAACTGCCTGGCGCTGTAACCCTAGTAAAATGCTCTGTACCTCAGTTTCCCATCTGCTGACAATTTTGGGGTGTTTTCTCTGAGAAAAAAGTGGGGATAGTAACAATGCCTATGTTACAGAGTTTTTGGAGGATTAAAGGAGTCAGTATACACAGAGCACACAGAACAGGGTCTAGTGTATAGGATGGATTTGTTGATTGTTAACTATCAATGTTTTTGTAATTGTTTTTATTGTAGCCTAAATGTCTGGCTCTTTTGGTGGTATCCTACCTTCAACTGGTAGGCCAAGAATTATGGTAATACAAATTAAACTACCTTGTATTATCAACAAAAAACTATACCATTTAAAGGTATAATGGTTAGCATCATGAGTTTCATCCTGTAGCAGAAAGAACAGCCAGATTCATACTCAGAACTACTGCAGTTTGTTTGCCGCCCTGTGCCACCAACACCCTCCTCTGAGGTGTTGACAAATGGCCGAGACAAAATTACTCAGCTCACATTTGTCTACACTGATGCACAAGGCCCCAGTGGCCAGTGGCTTTGGGGAAACTGTGTAAATCCATCAAATTTGGCCATTAAAAAATGATAACTATGATCAGCCAGTGCTGAGGGACCCATTTTGTGGAAGAAAGAAATGAAACCAACACAGTTAGTGACACAATAATTAGGATGCAGGGGAGACTGCTGACAATTTGGAGATGTTTTCTCAGGGAAAATATCAAATGCCTTACAGTTTGCAGGACATTAATAGATAATTAAATTGGCAATTTATTGCCACAGAGTGACAGTTGTGGCCCTCTCCTCCATGTACACAGAGCCAAACATCCGAAGGCAGTTCCTGCTCTGTCTTAATTGCAGGACAGAGGGTCATGAGAATGCCCTCCCTCCCACTGAAAGCCCCACTGGGCTGTCTTTCAAGAATGTTGGGATTTTCTTACTGTTAGTGTGAAAAGTACAGCCGAAAGTATAATCTCTGGTTTGGTTATTGCCCATAATCACAAAGATACACGTCCTTCAGCATCAAAGATTGTTGAATAAAATTTCTGTCAGGCCACTGTCATTTATTTGTTTTTTCAGACAAAGCCTCACTATTTAGTTTAGGCTGATGTCAAACTCTCAGTGATCCTCCTGCCTCAGCCTCCTGACTGTTGAGATTATAGGCACGTACCACCACACCTCATGGGGCCACTCGTTTGGACTGAACACCTGCACTAGACCCATCTGGCCAAATGAAAATGGAGTCACTCATGCTGAAGTTCCTCATCACCAAGCTGAAACTAAGTTGCTACCTGACTCTGAGAAATCAGAACAGAGAGAAAGATTATAGTGAAGTCCCCAAACAAGCCAGTTTTAGCTGCATGGTAAAAGGTACCCACTGCTTTTGCCACTACAGGGAAAGTGCCTTTGAAATAACCATCCTGCATTACGTTTTCTGTTTCTGCGTTCCTCAGTCTTCTGTTATAAACCAAACTGTTTTGCTCAGCTCGCCAGAACACTGCGACAAGGCATTGCCCAAATGTAGGATAGCAGATAAAAGCCACTGAAGATCTTTGGACTAAATTTGTTGTTATTTTGTCTTTGACAGGCCTAAAGTGGATGAAGATGCCAAGTGACAAACACCGGATCCCCCCCGATACTAGCTAGGCAGAGACGGTTCTACTGGAGCCCAGAGTGCCTAAGAGGAGGCTGATGGGAGGGGCCAAGCAGAGCCAGGCCCCAGGGGACCGGAGCACACAGGCAGGGGAGCGCAGGGGAGCGGGGACCTTACAATGGAAGCCCTGGAGGGCTGTGAGCAGGGAGTGACATGGACAGGTTGGTGTGTTTTGGCCATGCTGCGGCTGAGAACTCAGGTCAGAAGCTTCAGGACTGGGCACAGTGGGGTTACTACTGCCGCGTCCAGATGAGAAGCCCAGGCAGGGTGGCTAGCTGAGGTAGACGCGATGACAGACTCGAGACAGCTGAGCCGGCGTGGGGAGGTAGGAGGAAAAGCAGCTTAGGATGACCCTGGCCGCTGGCATAGGGGACAGTTATAAACAGGGGCAGGAAGAGGAGAGGAGGGTCAGGATTTGGGGACAGGGGACACATTCAGTCATTCACATGATGAACTGGAGGGGTCGGTGACCCTTTCTTTTGGAGACTTCTGCTCTTTAGACTCAGTGACTTGGAGCTCAGGATGGAGGGCTGGGCTTGAGAAACAGATTTAAGAGTCCTAGTGTCTATAACAGGCACCGGAGAGCTCATCCATGCTTGTTTTCAATAAAATAAGGTGCATTTTGAAGCATAGTAAAATTCATGTAAAAACTGCCATACTAGCTGGGTGTGGTGGCGCACACCTGTGATCCCAGCACGTTGGGAGGCTGAGGCAGGAGGGTCACAAGTCTGCGCCCAGCCTGAGCAATTTAACAACTTAAGAAGGCCCTGTCTCAAAAAGCTTTTAAAAAGGGCTAGAAATATAGCTCATCAAAGGCCCTAGGTTCAATCTCTA